AGTTTTTCTGTCAGGGGCAAAGTTAAAAATCCTAACCCGCACAGTCCGTGGCGATTGCACTAGCTACGAGGCCCCAAAACCACAGGTTCACCTCCCCCCTCTCCTCCCCGTCGGCATTCTTGCTATGTAGTTATTTCTTGTGGTTCCCTCGACTAAACTCGGCCTTTTTTTTTTTTTTTTGACTCCATCTGGTACAGCTTCATGTGTCGAAGGAGATAAAAGATTCTGTAAAAAAAAAATTAACATCTTCTTTCGACTTCCTCGGAAGAGGCGGGGTGGGGAGGGGGGGGGGGGGGAAGGGGCTAAGTAGTCTCGAGGTATAATGTCCATCTGAAGTTCCCAAGGTCCTGGGTTCAAGACCTAGGAAAGTCTTATATATATATATATATATTTTTTTTTTGCGTGGACTTCAAGTAATTTCCCCTGGTCTCTGGGTAGTGAGATCGGGCGCCCGTGTGCATTGTTGCGCACGTAAAAGAAAATCCCTTTGCAGTTGGAAATCAAAAAGAGAAGCCTAACGGGGCTGCCCGGGCAACATATTTGGAGTTCAAAATCTACCCAAAGTATTTCAGCATCCTCGCCGTTGCAACGGAGTTCGTGTACTGCGCTGAGATTCTTCAGACTCAAGCTTGAGTTAGAAGTAGAACGGAGCACTTCTTGGTGACCACCCTTGAGTCATCAAGTTGATCCGTTGATTAAACAAACAACAGGTTCACTTTCTCTGGTACCACTTCAGGTGTCGAGGAGGTCAGAAGATTTTGCTGTTTGCTCTGCCGGTTGCTTCGACCACAGACACAAGGAGCTATCGTAGAGCATCTCTGATGTTATCTTTCTATCTTGTTTTTATCCCTATTTACATGGTATAATTATGTTTGTCCATCCAGCAGCTGGCACCAGAAGACCCCAAGAAAGCCCCGCTATCCCCGGGCAACAGAAGCAGACCGGATTCAGCCGAGGACCGGACATTAGGCAACAATTTTCAGAATCCAGGTAGGCAATGAGGGGGGGGGGGGGCGCAGGGACACACACACACACACACCCTCCCACCCACCCACCCTCCCACCCACCCACCCACGCACGCACGCACGCACACACACATATATATTGCCATTATTGCCTCGATTTATCACTTCTGTGAAGGCCGGGAGTGGGGGTCTTTTAGCCTGATGATTTGGGGACTCATGGCTAGTGATTTTAACGAGCATTCGAACCCGGGTCTTCACACAAATAAGGCAGGCCAAAAAAATACCGACAAGGGAAAGTTAAAGTAAAAAAGTTAAAGTCGAGAAGATCGACTTCAATGCACAGTTTTTAAAAAAAAATCCCATATTGCCCAGTCTCTCTCCGCAGAACAGCTGCCTAGAGCGCTAAACAGGGCACGAACTCCCTAGCTGGGGATCTCCGAAAAATCTGCAATCGTGAACTGACCGGCACCGTCGAGGAACGAGCCTATGATCTTCAGAGCGCGAGACAAACGACTTGAACACTTCGCCACCGAGACCCCTCAACGGGAGCTAAAGAGGGGGAGGGGAGGGCCAAGTGACGTGACATCGTTGGGCAAATCTGGCCCTTAGATCATTGCCAGCTATGTTGTTAATTAATGATCTTTCTTTGCTGTGGCTCTGACCTCAAACCCTGACGATGCCCATTTTCTAAATGTTGACCCCTGAGTTAACTTACTTGAATAACCGTGTCGTATTAATAATTTTCTTTTTAATGTTTACCTTGGATGTCTTTTCAGAAACTTTCAGTGCTTGTTTTGTAATTCTTTAGTCATTTCCTCTCAGAGTGTGTCCATTATATTTCTACCTTCTTCGTCTTATTGCAGTCGATACAGATATGTGTCCAGACATTTCTCTGTTCTTCTGTTTTCCTCACTTTGAGGGTGGGAGGGGTGGGGGGCATCCCATTTTATGTTCACGATTTTTCTCAGACATAAAAAAAAAATGCGATTAACTTCTTCTCCGTATATTTGGTGATTCTCAAACGCTCCCTGGCATATGCTGAAATAACGTTAGAATTGACGATTCGTATCTTAGTCTTTTCATTGCAGCATAATTTTTCGATCCAAATAAACAACATATTGTTTTGTTTGTTTCTTTGTGACAGTAGTGGGGTTTTAATACCATTGTCGAGCCAGTGGTTACATGGTTGACCCAGGTTACCTACAAAAAAAAAAAAAAAAAAAAAAAGCGGGGGGGGGGGGGGTGGAGTGTAGACTTATTTGCCTGAGACGTCACCTTTTCAGCTCAAAATATTAGTAGGTTGTCCTGTTTTCAGCTCAAAATAGTAGGTTGTCCCGTTTTAAGCTCAAAATATTAGTAGGTTGTCCCGTTTTCAGCTCAAAATATTAGTAGGTTGTCCCGTTTTCAGCTCACAATATCAACAGGATGTCCAGTTTTCATTTCAAGATATTATAGTTATCTTTGTTATGCTTATAATAGCAAAAGTAAAATGTTGATTTTTCCTATGTATGGAAACTGATGGCACAACCGGTTTCTCTGACTTAGATCTGCAAGCGGGCCTGGTCGGACACATCCTGTCTCAGCAGAATTCTGCACATTTAGTACCGATGTCTAGTCACTTACTGCAACAACAGCAGCATCAGCGCCAGCTGCAACATCACCACCACCACCACCACCTCCAGCTGCAGCAACATCATCAGTTCAATATGGGTCAAGCAACATCCTCAACAGAGTCGCACTGCACGTCCCAACACTCACCTGTGCCTGGCCCCGTCTACACGTACCCGCCACACGTTGATCAGGTGCGACTCGCCAGCTACCCGGAACCAATGGTTGTCCATAGCGGTTACGAGATGTCCACTACTGGAGAGGTTTGTTCCTTCTTTGTACACACGCACTCCCACACGCGCGCGCGCACGCGCACACCTAAAGATACAGACGTGCGTGCATACACAGACCATATTCATACATACATTTAAGTAAAGGGAACTTTTTCACAAATTCAGGAGTATGGGTCACATAGGGCGAGACCTATATTTTATATATCAATCGGCACTTAGTGGGTTGTATAGTAAATATTAAGCCCGCCGTCTTTACTTCCCACGACTACACCTAGTACCCACGCCACAGTTAGTTCTGGGGAAAAACGTCGGACTCAGGACTTGAAAAATACAAATACTTTGCTACTGCTGAACACCTCCTCCTCCTCCCCCTCCACCTCCTCGTCTTCCTTCTTCTTCCTTCTTCCTTCTTCCTTCTTCCTTCCTCCTTCTTTCTTCCTTCTTCCTTCCTTCTTCCTTCCTTCTTCCTTCCTTCTTCTTCCTTCCTTCTTCCTTCCTTCTTCCTTCCTTCTTCCTTCCTTCCTTCCTTCCTTCCTTCTTCCTTCCTTCTTCCTTCCTTTTTCCTTCCTTCTTCCTTCCTTCTTCCTTCCTTCTTCCTTCCTTCTTCCTTATTTCTTCCTTCCTTTTTCCTTCCTTCTTCCTTCCTTCCTTCTTCCTTCCTTCTTCCTTCCTTCTTCCTTCCTTCTTCCTTCCTTCATTCCTTCCTTCTTCTTCTTCTTCTTCCTTCTTCCTTCTTCCTTCTTCTTCTTCTTCTCCTTCTTCTTCTTCTTCTTCTTCTTCTTCTTCTTCTTCTTCTTCTTCTTCTTCTTCTTCTTCTTCTTCTTCTTCTTCTTCTTCTTCTTCTTCTTCTTCTTCTCTTCTTCCTTCCTTCCTTCCTTCTTTTCTTCTTTTCTTCTTCTTTTTCTTCTTCTTCTTCTTCTTCTTCTTCTTTCTTCTTCTTTCTTCTTCTTCTTCTTCTTCTTTTTCTCTTCTTCTTCTTCTTCTTCTTCTTCTTCTTCTTCTTCTTCTTCTTCTTCTTCTTCTTCTTCTTCTTCTCCTCTTTCCCTGATTAAAAATTTTTGCTGCTCCTCCAACTCATCCACCGTCTTCCATTTAACTCGTCAGTATTACGATTATCAAAGAAAAGGTCAGATGTCATCTTCACTGTAAGTGTGTTTTCTTCTATCTTTCAACTTCTTTCTGTGAGCGCCAATCAATACATTATTTGTTTGTTTATAAAATGTAATATTATACGACCTCAAGGGTTCCCCCTCTGTTTATTTATGTGAATGACGTATACACAATGAAACCTGCCAATCAAATACCTTTCCTAATTCTAGACAAACCATTATGGTTTACCGTGTTTGCAAATTGTTTCTGTGTTTGTTATTGGACCTATGCTTTTTTAAATGTAAATTTATGCAACCTATGGTGGTATTTCAATGGTTTGAGATTAATTCTGCCCGCATTCCATAGTTGTGGATGTCAAGCTGTACGATAGACATGGTCAATGAAGACATCTTTTTTTTTGGGGGGGGGGTGGGGGGGGGGTGCCTAGTTGATCATGTTCTTAGTGCACTTGTTTCCATAGCGAGGCGTACCTGCCATTTGGAGGTGAGAGGTTCGATTCCCGGCACGGCAACTATAGCAATTCGATTTCTATACCGTCTAGTGTGTTCTTCTATCTTTCTACTTCTTTCTGTGAGTGCAAATCAATACCTTGTCTGTTTATTTATTACATCTCCACTGTTATGCAATTGTTTCGAAACTGTCACCCATTTACAGATATACCCTTGTTCTTGTAAACGACTGATAACCCATTGTTTCTCCCGCTTACAGAACCCAAGCAGAGCTTACCCCCAATACCCGGACCACGGTTGCTCACAGTACCCAGGAGGGCACCCGGGGTGGGACACTGAATACTACAACAGTGAATCGGTCATTCCACAGTGCAGGTAAGAGAATCAGGAGTTATAAGATAAGAACAACATCACAGCACTTGAGACAGTCAATAAACGCTCAGTCCCCATGTTCAACAGCAAGCGCAGTGTTCTAGTGCTACCAGTAGCAGTCCGACTGTACATCCGTCAAGCCCAACGGTTCTCAACCTGTGGGTCAGGACTCTTTTGTAGGTCGAAGGACCCTTTCACTGGGATCTCCAAAGACCACTCGAAAACACATGTTCACTGAAGTAATGAAGTAGCAACGAAAATGA